AAAGTCAAAGTGGTTCTATTACACTAGACTCCTTTATATATTTAGTAAACAAACTAAAAGCATGTATATACAAGATAACTGATAAAAGACACTCTTGTATAACAAATTTTAGTAAAAATCTCAACTTCTGTTAACAAAGTTAAAATAGTAAGGCTTATAGAAGAACAATAAGCAAGTTTTCAATACATTTACTAGAAATTTAAGAATATCTACTAACCAAACACCACTATCATATTTCTTATTTAGTTTTTGACAAAAGTTTTTACAAGAAGTAGAAATTTAGTATATCTTCTATGAAAGATCTACAGAAATCATTCATTTTGGAAATAGAAGAATTATTCCTTTTCTGGAACTCAATGTAACTTTAATCAGAATGAAAAGGTCAACTATAGAACTAGTAAGGAAGAAATTAAATACTGACATCTTTATCATCGAACGATATTTATATATAGTATAGACCTATTTCTAGAATAGAGACTAGGAGTAACAGTACTATATAATTTTTACAATTTGCTCTGACTAGGGCTTCAACTCTCTTTTTATTTTTTCTTTTTCTTATTATTATATGTTTGTTTTGCTGTTTTGTTTTGATTCAGGTTTTGTTTGTTTATTTTTAGTTTTTTTAATTATTTTCTTATTTGTATTCAATTTTATAATACGTTTCTTTTTTTAATCTTTTGAGAAGAAGAAAGAATTTAAAGAAAGAATTGAAGACAATTAATGCTTGTCTTAAAAAAGAGAAATTCTTTTTGGTATGACTTTAAGTAACCAGATAAACAGTCTACTTCTAACTGGGGTAATGCAACAGGTCACACTTAGGTACTAATAAGGTGGCTAGGTGATGCTAGACTTAGTTATTGGGAAAATTCTATATAGTTATTGTATATAGTTGCAAGAATCTTAATAAAATACTAGCGTGACTGCTTAAGAGCAAAAAAAAAATAAAAAATAAAAAATAACTTCACTTTAGCTGACTTCTTAATTTGGCAAAAATATTTATTATAGTTAACAACAGTATCGATTTACCAAGATTGGCCAATAAGAATGCACGATTTAGTGTAACACAGTATAATGTGATCAATAATGTAACTTGGCCAAATTTGTGTTGTCCGGCCCAAATTATATACTTAATTTGCCCGAAGTGGTATTGTTACACCGCATTAAAAATTGCAAAAAAATATCGTAAATTAACAATAGCAAGTAATATAGTAAGTTACAATAACAGATATTACTTGCTACAATTACGACAATGTGATGACTATTATTAGAACCAGCGTTGGAAGTTGTACGTATGTTTACAGTGTTCACGTGAACGTACATTTTTTTAAAAAAGCCAAAGTTTTTCCTTTATATTCATATTATGGACATAGAAAATCATATTTGTGAACATAGAATTTCCAACAATGATGGGGACGATTCTATCGTATCACTAGTCCTGATGTCGATTCCCTCCCTATAGACGTTATCGCTATTGCATATTACACATAGGCATAAGTTTGTTTGATTGGTTGATTTTTTATAGATATACCCGTGATTATTAACCAATCAAATCGTATAATTTGTAAAAATTTTATCGTTTAATACTGCTAATATCGAAAATAAATTCTTCCGATTCTGAAGTTCGGATTGTACATTCAACCTATATAAAAGACTTAATGCCGGAAGTGGATATTATCGAGTTGCTTAGAAGAATGGACCTTGAGGTTGTTCATGTGAGGTGAGTTTTTTTTCATTAAGTATTTGTTAAGTTACCATATATCCGAAGTTACGCTGTCCCATCGGTGTAAAATGTCTGAGAAGAATTGAAAGCTCCTCGTGGCTTATGTTTCGACATAGAACGTTCTTCTTCTCAGTTACTCGGTTGTTCCTGCGGTCGTAATGCCTACACAGGGAATTAATGAATGAATAGGATATATGTTAACTAATGAGTACGTTACCGTAGACTATTCCGACCGTACAATATTTAGTTGTTAATAACGTACTTACATGTTGTCACTTAGGAGAAGGTGTCGATATAAAATGCAGAATCAAAGGAATGCTAATCCTTATTCCTTAGAAGACCCAAAGAAGAATCACGTGTTCTTGAAAATTCTCCGACAGTGAATGTATGGTCACAAATTTTGAAGTGCTATACTTATTTGCAACATCTGGCTAGAACAGATGCTAAATGTCTTAGTTCAGGAACAACACCATCACTATCACCACGATCGAGTCTTTATGATGAAAGTTCAGATGACAATCCTTTGGATTCGGATTATGAAGATTATGAGGAAACATCTTAACAAAAACAAACAAAAACAAAAACAAAATTCTAAAGGGAAGCAAAACAACTCGGTTAGTAAAAAAAGTTGCCAGTAAACAATGTAAAATTAGACCAATAACATAAGTAATTATTATATTAATTTTAGGAAACACCTATTTCCGGCATGGAAATTTACATAAATACGACGAATATGGTTATGATAAATTACGTCCAATGGTGGGAATAGTTCATGGTGAAAAGGCCTAATTTTATTATAAAATATTTATTTTCATGGTGGAAAGCGTTCTCTAATTTTATTATAAAATATATATTTTTTTTTATCAATTGATTACAGGACCAGAGACCGTTGGAGCCTTGAGACCATAGAAGGACATTCGTCTGATTTGCTAATGTAAATCAATTGCCCAGGCAACACGTTTTACCAATAAAAAATCACCACAAAAACGATTTTTCGCTTCGATAGAACGTCTATATTTACTATGCAAAAATAATCTGTAATAACCAGTATCTCCATGAACTTTACTTAGAAGGCAATATATGCCTACCGTTTATTGGGCCAGACTATATTATACTGTATAGTGAAGGTAACTGGAAACGTTTTCGTCTAAAACTATTTTATTACGTTAGATTTAAATAAACCTTTATTTCTAACTGTTAATTTGTGTAGGTGCAAGCTCTTTAGCAGTAAAAGATTGGGGCTTAAGATTAAACTTGGTCGGTTATTGTAGTGTGTTTGGGTTTGTCAACCGTAAATTAATAGTTAAGGTTTTGAGTTATATTTTATAGATTCTTTAATGTAATGAGTTGGGTTTATTAACAATAAATATCACATTTACTCACTTTACGCACATATATCTATAAATAATAAACTTTTTTTTGTGTAAATTTATTATCTGTAAGTTTCTTTATACGAATTTTTTTTGCGTTTCTAGTATTGTAGTATTAATTAAAAATTATGTATTTTGATTGGTTAATTATCACGGGAAATCATACAAAAATTAACCAATCATGCGAATGTCTTCCTATAAGCCTTGGGAGGTATTGTTGTTTGGATTAATTTTACAACGGGTGCTTATAAGGGAGGCGGAAAAATCAAATATTCATCCTATCCTTTTAACAACCAAGGACTGCCTCCCTTTAACTTTAATTAATCATTAGATATCATTTATAAGAACCTATAAAATTTTCTTTTTATACCGAATTTATTCTTTACCGTTAATTTCGTTACTTTTTTCATTTTATTGTATTTACTAATTTTTTGTTATTCCTTAATAAACACCAAATCCACCAAAAAATGCAATACAAGGATCACTCAAGCTTTGACCTCACGTGGTGTGACCTGGATAACCAGCTAACGAATGCACATTTTTATTTTATTTTTATATATTTTAATAATTTTTAATCTAACATATCGATTTATTGATAAATACTAGTATCGTGAATAGCGAGTATCCTAAATCAAGATTAGCAAAATAACTCGGGTAATTTTTTAGCAGAAAATTAACACTAGAATGAAGCTTTATTGCAAATTTCTTTGTATTCCATATTTTATCCTATACTTTACTTTGAATTTTTATTTAATAAAGCTGGCCTGGTACCGATTCAGCATATATAATAATGTTTAATAATGTTTACTTTTATGTGTATTTCGTGAATTTATTTTATTGTATTATTATCAATGTAATTAACTCAAGAATTTTTAAAAATTTTTCTTGGCGAAAGTAATCGCGTGAACAAATTGTTCACGCAAATATGATTTTTTTTTTATTTGAAATTAAAGGTATTAACTAATAAAAAATATTTTCTAAAACATGTATAATAAAAATCTTTTTCTGAACATTTCTGATAAAACTATATAAATTAATATTAAACATGCAAACTCAAAGATACGAATTTAAAGACTTATTCGAAATAGATTTATTAAGACAACAAATCATTGATCTTGAGGCTGAAAACACAAAGTTAAATAATATCTCTTAATTCGTTATGCAGGCAAATTTGCCTGCAAAATTTGGTTTTGTTTAATTATTATTAAAAAAGTAGATAAGAGAGATCCCCCTAAAGACTAATTAAAATTAAAATATAACACTAGATATATAACCCGTCGCTTCACTGATATATATATCTAATTTGATAGACATGTATGTCCATCAAATAACATATAAGATTATGATATATTTTATGGACAGGTATGTCGGTGACTATTATTGATATAACACAGTAATTCTCTTTTTAAAGGGTAAGATGATCCGGGCAAATTTGCATGCTAAAATTTATTCAACAATCGTACATATTTCCCCCTGCTAAAATGTATTAATCATGTTATGGATGCGTTGTTTAGACTTTAGTAGATATTGGAATTTAAATAGTATACGCAGTAGTATTTGGAGCGACGTAATAAGATGAAGTTTGGAAGGGCTATTTCACTAAATTAAAGAGAAAATAAAGTCAGGACGGATTCAAAATTGGGCAAAAGTAGTATAGGCTAAAAGCTAGTATGTCCAGTATTAATATTACTGAGGTTGGTGAAATAATATCGTAAGTTGTAAAAACAATTTTGAGAAAAAAATTTGCAGTAAAATAAATATCACGTGTATTTCAGACTGATTGCACAAAATCGACACGTTTGACGTTTTTTATGTAGCCAATCAACGATAAACACAACAGCAATTACCTGTTTATATACAGTGCATTTGATCTGACTTATCGTATTTATTTTCTTTCCTCATTTGACACAATGAAGTTTACCTCACTTTCCCTTTGGGGAGTTTTATTATTACTTTCGGTTGATTTTATTTGCGGAGGAACCGATTATTATCAACTTCTGGATGTTCATCGCTCAGCATCACAACGGGAAATCAAAAAAAAGTACAAACAATTATCAAAAAAATACCACCCTGATAAGAATCCTGGTGATAAAGAGGCAGAACAAAAGTTCGTTCAGCTAGCTGAAGGTATTATAAGAAACATACCGCGATTTTAACATTTATTATGATTAGCGCGTGATATTTGTAATAAACGTTTATTGAACCATTTGGAACTTATAGCATATGAAGTATTATCAGACGAGACCAAGCGTTCTATATATGATAAGTACGGTGAGGAAGGGTTAAAACAACACGGCTCGGGCGGTACAAATTTTCATAATCCATTTGATATCTTTGCTAAATTCTTTGGCGGATCGGGGCACTTTGGAGATTCTTCGCAAACTGAGCGCCAAGGGCCAACCATAGTCATGGATATAGAAGTAGACTTAAAAGAGTTATATTTAGGAACTCAAGTTGAAGTGGACATTTCCAAACAAGTGATTTGCTCCCATTGTAGGGGAAGTGGTGCTAAAAGTGAAGATGATGTCATAACATGCGATGCTTGTAGTGGGCGAGGTGTTAAAGTAGTTAAACAGATGCTTGGACCGGGAATATTTCAACAATTCCATTCCACGTGAGTAGCTACTTTGTTATTCTATCAAATTTGAAATGATATTAATGATTGTATACAATTTAAGGTGTGATTCATGTGGAGGAAAGGGTAAAATTGTGAAGTCTAAATGCCCTATTTGCAGTGGAAGAAAGGTTCTACGCGCGAACGAACAGTTAACTGTTGTTATAGATCGAGGGATGAAAGATGGAAACACTGTGGTAAGTTACTATTAACCGATTTTTATATTTCAAAAATTTTATTTAGTTATGCATAATGATTATTATTATTATTATTATAGGTTTTCGAAAAAGAAAGTGATGAGACACCAGATACGATACCTGGAGATATTATATTTAAAATAAAAACGCTTCCACATTCAATATTTGAAAGAAAAGGAGATAATCTATATAAAAAAGAAACTATTTCATTAATTGATGTAAGGATTTAATGTCTTGGTTAAGAAACAATTGGGTTCTTGCTTATGTTTTAATCAAAATTTAGGCGCTTACCGGTTTTGAAAGAAATTTTACACATCTTGATGGTAGAAATGTCACAATAAAACGTGATACAGTGACACAGCCAAATTTTGTTCAAGTTATTAAGGATGAAGGTATGCCTCGGCATCGAACACAACTTAAAGGTGACTTATATGTGGAATACACAGTAGTGTTTCCTTCAGTCATTGATGATGCAACAAAAGAAGGTAAGAAAGAATTCTAATATTACTTATTTTTCAATGTTTTTCTTGACATAAACATGATATTTGCATTAGGTTTAAAGAAACTTTTCTCTAAAACGGGCGGTGTTACACCTGAGCTCTACCATGGAGAATTATAGTATAAAAGAGAAACGAATAATTTTTAGCACGGTTTAGAAAGTACACGCATATATATACGAATCATTTACTCTCCAAATCCACCACTATCGCTATTACAACTTACATCATAATTTCAATCATACACCCTTCTAATTCTCATTTAAGGATTCGTTATATAGGAACAATTTGAACATTTTTACACTTTATTTATATTGACAGATTATGTAATTAATAATAGCAATTTCTAATGACACAGAGTTTAAACTTTTATTTATAATGTGGCCTTATTTGATAGAAATGTTAATTCGTATAGATACTTAGATACTTGTAAGACAATTATATTCATTGAATTCCATCATCTGTGATGATATGAATAATTTCATGTCTTTAAATAAGGCATTTGGTCAATAATGGTTACAAAAACTTTTTTTTTTTTAAAAAAAACTATTTAAAAAAAATAAATGAAACTTTAATACTAAACAACCGCTGTTTTTATATTCATAATACGTAATGTTGCATAATACTGTAATATATTTATACAGGTTATTTATGTTGCATTTGAAGAAATTCTAATTGGTTAAAAAATTAACTAGCATACTGGCCTGAGTATACTTGTTGGCAAAACCTAGACAAAATCCCAAACCCCCCAAAAAAGTTGCCATTTATAAAAAATTAAATCAAGAAAATAATTTTAAAACTATCAATATATTATATAGAACTATAATGTATATTGTTTGTTTAAATAAGATATCAACTACGTATAGTTGCAACAGTATAGCGGCTTTCTGATGATCGATCGAAATGTTACACAATATGTTTTACATATTGGTGTAACGTTTCTTAAATACAAACGGATACAAACTTGATACTGTAATATGGTTGCTTAACCTAACTAGATTCTAAATATTTGTTTAATAAATATGTCGTCGCCAGTCAAATCA